AATAACTAAATAAACTTTAATAAATTCTAAAAATATAAAACGCTTATAATCTTTTATCTTCATCTTTCTAGATTTTATTTTAAAACTCGATTTTTTAGTTCGACCTAATATTATATTAGTATATTCTAATAAAATACTTAATAATTCCCTAATTTAGAAATGGATGATTTATTTATAGGCCTAAAGGACTAAACTTTTAAAAAGAGGAGCTAATAATACGATTTAATATATATAATAAAGCTAGGGTCTCGCCTTATAACGCCTATAGCGGCTATTATAATATATATATATAAAAAGAAATTTAGAATGATTTCCTTTAAATTAAAAAAACTATAAATAAGTTATATAATAATAAAAAGGACCGATGGATAATAATTAATTTATAAATAAGACCGATAAAATAAAGGCGGTTTACCCTTATAAGACCGATATTATAATATTGATCTTAATTATAAAAGAACTATTGAAATAATATACGGGATTTATATATAAAATAAATTTAAGCTAAACTTAAAGATAAACTTTTTATAGTTTCTTTAATAATTAACTTAATATTAAATTTTACGATTATTTTTAACTATATTTATTAAAAACCCCTTTAATAAAACTATAATTAATTATTAAAGCCTTACTTACCTTATAACTTATAAATATAGTTTTAAAGAAGCTATTTATAAATATAATATACTATTTCTTAATATCGTAGCCTTAACTTTTATAAATATACTTATTCTAGCTAACTAGCCGTAATATTAAGCTATTTAAAATACAAATAATCTTATATAAATAAATTACTATCAAAAAACTTTATATTAACCTTTAAGTTTTTTTTACTAGCTATAATTATCTTAATATTAAATTAGCTAAAGAGGGCGTCTAGCCCGAGAAGGGCCGACTTACTGATTAATATTATTAAAGTAAGTATATATTGAGATATTTATCTAATTAGCCTACTTTGAAGCTAGTTAGTTACTAATTTGTTTAACTCGTATATATTATAATATATATTATAGTATTTATTTAGTAATATATATTTAATAGGTTTATTCATAAATAATAAAGTATCTATATATATATATAAAATATAGAATATAATTAGTATGAAAAGAATACTTATAAGCTCTAAATAATAAAATACTAGCTATATTAGCCCTTTATGTAAAAAGCCTTTGTATTAACGTTTAAGTTTAGAATATCTCTAGTAGATTCTACCTTTAATCTTTAGTCTTGCTATTAGGGCAGTACTATTTAGCCATTAGGGCAGTACTGTTTAGCTATTAGGGCAGTGACCCACCTTTCTAGCTAATTAGAGCCTTTAATATAAAGGCTTAGACTATACCCTATATTTATACCTAGATACTATACTTATATAAGGTAGCTATATATAATAATTACCTACGGTTGTAATTACTTATTATTATAATTATTAATTATTATTTAAGTTAATATAGTAATAAGTAGCTAAAAATAGATAATGACGATTGGAGATGGGGAATTATGACCGTAAGTAATCATAATTATAAATAATTACTATATATAGCTATTTATTTCATATAAGTACGGCGTTAGGTAGGAGGTAGGTGCGCTAAGTGACCTATAAGTAAGTATAGTAGGACTTAGAGATTTAAGGCTAAGGCAGTAAGCACTAATTAGTTAGAAAAGTGGGCTACTGCCTCAATAGCTAAACAGTACTACCTTAATAATAAAACTCTTAATCTTTATAACGGACTTTAATAGTCGACCTTTATTATTGACCTTTACGGCCTACACTGCCGTATAAATATTTACTTATTATATTATATTATATTTTTTAAAACCAAACTATTGTATTAAGTTAAGTACTTATATAGGACATATTACGTGTGTTATATAGTTATATATTACATTATATTAAATAGTTTCTTTTAAAAGCTAATATTATTAAAATCAATCTACTATACCTATAAAGATGAAAAAAACTATTATATAAATATTAATAACAAAAGCAATTATATTAAATTTAGCTACCTATATAGGCTATTATTAAGAGGGTTTATATAAGTTAAAGTATATAAACTTAGTTATTTAGGCATAGGGCTAGAATTTAAAAGGAATTTATATACTAGAAGTTCGGATAGAAGTTAATAAAAAGAGGTAATAATCGGAGTTCGGTTCGCTTTTAATAGTTAAGTATATAGTATAATATATTTGGTTTTCCTATTATACTATATGTTGTATATATTAGTATCCCGGCGGATGCCTCTGCTGAAGGGATATATATATATTAGTAACTTATTAGTATTTATAGAACGGAAAAACAATGAAATATATATTATATAATAATAATAAAATAGTTACATTATACAATACGTAATATAATCATTCAAAATTAATGTTTAATAAGATCTATATGAGTAATTATTAATATATATAATAAGTATATCTCCTCGGAGGAGGCATCCGCCGGGGCATCTATGTGTACGATATATGATATAACGGGAAAACTGGGTATATTACACTATATACTTAATTATTAACTTCCATCCGACCTTCCGCCGCCCGTACGCCTAAGCGGCTAACTTTATTTACTTTAATATATATAAGACCTCATAGCACTAGCTTATATAAATAACTAGATTTAATATAATAATCTTTTTCTCTATTAAGGTCTATAAAGCTTTTAAATAATCCTTTTTTTATAAAATAAAGTATCTTTATAAAGTTAGCTTTATTAAATATAATATCGAGGCCAGTATTAAATTACTAAATCTTAATATTATACCTATTACGGCTATTACTAATTTTACTTAATTAAATATCGTATTTTTAAAAAACATCGTACTATTTTATTAGTATACTTTTATAAGCTATAATATATAGAGTATTAAATAGGCTAAAAAATCGATTAAACTTAAGAGGAGTAGATATTTTTAAGGTAATAAATATTATTAATCTAGTAAATAACGATTATATATTATCTAGTAGATATTATTATTTAATAAGTTTCTTTAATAATTATATTTATAAATAATAGAATGTCTATATTTATATCTATATAATATAATATAATAAAAATAAAAATAACTTTCACAAACTTTAAATAATAAGATATAAGTTATATTAGCCCTATTCTAAAAAGCCTTTATTTTAATATAGAAGTTTAAAATATTTCCGGCGGCCTTTAACTTTTAAGGCCGACCTTAATAGTCAATTTTTATTATCAAACTTAATGGCCTCCGCCGCTATATAAGTAATAAATAATCTATTCATTTATATTATATTACATCTTTTAAATTAAATTGTTAAATTAAATTAGGCGTATATATAGGGTATATTATATAAATTATATACTTAAATTATATATTATATTATATAATTTACTTTTAAATCTAACTCTATTAAGGTCAATATGTTATATCTATAAAGCTAGAAAAAAACCATTATATAACTATTAAATAAACCTATTAAATAAGAATATTTACTAGCTGAATAAATAGTTAAATAACTAACTTAATAGTACGCTAGTTATATAGCTACATTGATATATATCTATTAATATCTATCTATTAATATCTATCGCCTTAAATACATCTATACCTTTTAAACTTAATTAATTCTTCGGCCTATTTAACGCCTTAACTATTATAACTTACAAAAATATATTAATAAAATAACATAATATCTTTTAAAAATATAATATTTAATTAAATAAAACTTTAAATATTATAAACAATTATATTAAATATAATATTAAGATCCGGTAACTTAATACTAACTTTAAATTTATATTCTATAAAACGAATTTCATAAAAACGCTATATATTATATAAAATAAAGATTATTTAAAAGGTTTATTAACTTAAAAGAAAAGCTATTATTATATTAAATCTAGCTATCTATATGATTTTGTATTAAAAGGTCTTATATGTATTAAAATAAATTACGTTAATTATTTAAATATAAGGCTAGAATTTAAAAGAAATTTATATAATAAAAGGTCGAGTAGAAACTGATAAAGGGGGGTAATGATCGGAGTTTAACTAGCTATTAATAGTTAAATATATAGTATAATATACCTAGTTTTTTTATTATATAATATATCGTATATATTAATACCCTAGCGGATGCCTCCGCCGAGGGGATTAAATTAAGTATATATATAGAGTGTATTATATATTATATATTAATTAAGTTATATACTGTATTATATGATGTTTTTTAAAAGCTAATCCTATTAAGGTTAATCTTTTATGCCTATAAAGCTGGAAAGAAATCAGTATATAAAAACGGATTTTATATCTATTATTTACTTTAGGGAACGGCCTTTTGAGTTAATACTCTCATGGTCTAATCTCCTTATAGCCAAAGCTAGTTACTAGTCGTTAGTATTAATATAATCGGTATATAAAAATAATAATAAAACCTTCGTTATAATACTTACCCTCTTCTAACTACAATTTATTATCAAATCTAGTTTTTAAAAAATATTAAAATTATATAATATTTCTTTCTACATTAATAGCTAAAACAGACCGAAAATAATTTAGTTATAACTAATAGAACTAATTTTATCTTGAAAATTAACATTTTTAAAAAAAAAGGATATTTTATTACTATTTCTATTATTAGAACTATTTTTATTATAAAAATACCTTTAATGGTACTTTAATAGTAGCTCGTTATTATAATTTAATTAATAATATAATTATTTTATAAAACTATAGTACTTTTAATAGCGCTATACCCTCTAGCGACTGGCAATTGGCCTTGACCGCGAGGAGATCAGGCCCTTATTAACATTGTTTTTTTTTTATTTTTTTTATTTTTTTAACTAGATTGAGTTATTTCTTATAGGCGGTAAGTGAGCCAGCTGGCACTATGACGGGTCTGAAAGATCGCCGAATTCAAATGTGGCTGGTAAGAGCTGAAAGTATACTTCCCGCCCTAAGAGTCACCTAAATCCAACTAAGCTAGTGCAAGCGCAGCGCCACGTACCTTTTCGTGGAAATCTTTATTATTGTATGTGTTCTCGTCGCCACTAGATTGCCACGTGAATAGAAACTTAGTTAGGCACATAAAAGAATTGACCGGTCCTCTTAGATGCGGGGTTTCGAGAAAGACCAAAGTCAGCCGCCTCGTCTGGAGTGTCTGTGCAAAATCACAAGGGATAGAAGGCCTTCCAAACCTTTTCTCACTGTGTAAACAAGACATAGCTATAGTCCATATTTTTGAAAGCTTTAAAGTCACAGCACCCATGTCTTCACCAGGACTGTTGGTTTTGGCCTGCCCTCTTCATCATTCTTTGCCATCCCACTGACACTTTATTGTCCAAGCAATCTCCACACCCAACTAACATGATGGTTAATATCTGGGCACTCATTGCACTCGGAATTGGACCTATGATTGCGGCTTCGCCAACTAGTCCAGACGCTGGGCCCTTAGTAGGCCTGAGATCCGATTCTTCGAACCCCTCTAGCAAGGGCAAATGCCCATCGGGCTGCGGCAAACGAAATTTTATTTTCACGTAGGCATATTAAACCAGACACAAGAAACGCTGCAGTCCTAGTCGGTCGTCGGCTGTCTACGATTACTGACATAATTGTTGTCTAGGGGCCTGCCATGGAACCATCCCGCTGTCGCAGCAAGCGGATTCACCCCCCAGCAGGTGGAAGCCGGCATTCGCGCAGACATGGCAGCAATCGTGAAAGCTGGCTATAACATCAAGGGTTGTCTGCATTGCCCATTGACCTTCGTTTCTATTGACTGATATGGTCGTAGCTGTTCTCCTCGGCCCCGAAGATAGCTTGGACTTCCTCTCAGGCGAATTGAAGGGTGTAGACTGGACCGGAACTGGTGTTGGTTTTGGCGTTCGGGGGAATCCGTCGCCAGTGATCACGCGCCGTCTCATGGGTTTGCTCACCCCCCCCCCCCCCCCCCCCCCCAGGTCGATCATTGAACCGTGCACTAAATCATCACATCTATAGATGCTGTGCAGCTATACCGGGACGAAGTGCCTCGGGCCAGGATCTTGTTCAATTATTCTCCTGTCACGTCCCTTTGGGCAATTCAGCAGTACTATCCACTCTCTACAGAATGCGCAAACAACAATGGAACTGATTTAGTAGGTTCATAAACTGTTTACTGAAGTTTATCAAACTAACTAGGTTATCAGGGTATCGCAATCCGTTGCCGTGCCTGCTCCCCCTCTGTTTAAAGGCAACAAACTCGAGTGGTTACTTGGCAATGCCGTCTCGAGAAGCACCGAATGACAAGCTTTCCTTCATTGTGGAATTCAGGCACTATGTGAACATTTGATTGGAAAATTCTCTAATAATCAAAAACCACACAACTTCAATCGAGAAATAATCGCGTCAATGGGCAGGAATGCGTATGCGATATTAGTACCCTAGGCGCCCAACACGCTGGATTTGAGCTTCTAATGTTTCTGTCCTCATGCGCATATCTCGAGCCACTGGAAGCGAGCGCTTTTCCTCCCATCGAGCTTCGTTTCCTTTCTGTTTGACCACCTCTGAACTTTGAGCTTTGTGTGAGGGGTCTTAGTCAAGAAGTGACAGTAGCAGTGACCAAATAAGCATAGGGCCATAGCCACGGTTACGATGATCCAAACGAAAGGCTTCATGTAATTGCCGATGTTGTCATTGGAGAACAAGACGCATCGAGTGTGTCATGCGCAAAAGCGTGCACACGTCAAATGGAAATTGCTAGGGCTTAAATCCTTTGCCTTGATTATTGTCAGAGATTTCTTAAGTAATGAGAGATAGTGTATTTGACTTGTACCCTTTCTTTTGGTGTTCTAAATTACATTAAAGTGTGGTTGCCTTGAAAATTCTACTTTCGCAATGGACAGTACTTATTCAGCTCTGCGAAGATGCTGAACTTTACGATTGGGCAGCATTAACCGAGCATCCGATAGCATGACGCATGCAGTGGAGTAGACTGGAAACTACGAGGATTCATGTAAGATATCTGCTGCCATCAAGGGGCAGCTCACGTATACGAGCATTATAGTAGGTAGCATGCCTATCTTGCTCGAGTAGGCTATAAGCATAAAACTGATGTCATTTGAGAAAGTTCTATTTCATGAATGTCGGTGGCCTGAAAACAAGTTGTGGTAACACTCATGAGTCCCTAAGTAAAGTTGAACAAGGCAATTTGCATTATTTCTACCTTATCGCTGATTGCTCGGGCGTTAGGCGGCGCTCGATACGTCTTCCACAAACAAGACCATCATCTTCATCAATGCAAGCCAATCACATATAAATCATTGTGCGTTGGTTAATTCTCAAGCCTTTGCGGCAGTGTGATGACGTAGAATAGAAATGAGGCTACTTTCAAATAACAGATTGATCATGTATCAAGCGAGGACATTCAAGGGTATTCATTACTCGAAACATGCTTTTAATACAACCTCGGTACACTCAAGACATCATGGCCATGTCCTTGAACTACTTGAATAGTTCCTGTCAGGCCGTGCCCCTAAGCCATCTGATAGGTAGGCTTGCTACTGACATTGCGTTGCTTAGTTTCCTCCTTCAGTCGTTGGCGGCGGGGAAGGGGAGCTCGGCGTCTCACGTGATTGATCGATCCAATCGAAATAATATCGACGATCAGGGTAACCTAACTCATCATTCGGACGGATAATATTTCCTCCAGAGGCTCAGACACCCTCTCTTTGATCTAAGGTACGGATACTCCATGCTAGCCTCGGATGTATACCAATGGCGGCCATTCCGCCGCCGTTGCAGAGTGCAGTTATCGTAGTTCGCCAGGGTGCCCCAGGTGTTCGTAACTCCGCCCGGTCGCAGAGGTGGGAAGTGGGTACGGCAGCCTGCAAAGCCAACCAGGTCAAAATGGACTTTTCTAATGGAGTGCCGGTAGGTGTATAATTAATAGTGGGGATATTGCTTGTTAAGGCGAATTTAAGGATTATAATTAATTATATTATCAAATATAGGCTTTTTAATTATGATTACTTTAGTAACTTAACTTTTTATAGTAATTAACACTTATATATTTAAGCTTATAAATTATATTAATACTTATTTAATAGATAACTACTTATAATCCGTACTTTTTTTTTAATTATTTATATTTAATAACTTATAATTAGTACCTTTTAAGGATTTACAGTTAGTACTTTTTAATTACTTATATAAAAAAAAGTGGTACTTATTCTCTACGTACTATCTCCCTAGCTTATATAATTAAGTATATATATATTTATGAAATATATAAAAGTTTCTTAGAAAACCTATTTAATATAGCTATATTTTATTATATAATATAATATATTATTTCTAAGTAATCTTATCTAATATAACTAGTTTATTTTAATTTATTTGTTAAATTATAATATAATTTTATATTAGTAATATATTTAAGAAATTAATACACGGGTATAAAGAATCAATATACGGGCATAACTCTTATATAAATATAATAGCTATATACTATCATTAGCCTAAAGATATATATAAATTATAAATACTTCGTCCTAAAGATAGTAAAGGCTCCCTTATTGATATATTCTTATTTTAATAAATTTATATAAGATAAATTTATATTAAATTATATTATACCTATTTTTAGTTTTTATTTTCTATATAAAAACCCCTATTTTTATTTAAAACTCTTTATTTATAAATTATTAATTAATATTTTAATAATATAATTCTTTTTTTTTAGGTTTTAATTAAATATTTTTTCCTAAGTCTTTATATCTTTTATTAACCTTATTTTAAATATATCTTTATATAATTAACTTTATTGATATATTATTTATTTTATTTTTTATATTTTATATTATAATATAGATATTTATAAATAAATAAGTAATAAATAAATAATAGATCTTATTAAAGCCCTATTTAAATAATTATATTTATTAAAGGACGGCCTTGTTATTATTATTAATTAATATCTTTTATTTATACTTTTTTTTAATAGTTATTTATAATACCCGTTTACTAACTTATATTCTTATAAATCTCTTTATACCGAGTTTATTAAACTAATTTCTAATATATAAGTATAATAAAGTTATAAATTAATTACTCTTTTATTACCCTCCTTTTTATATAAACCTTGTAATAATGGTTTTATTATAACTTCTTAATAAATGGCCTTATTAAGTTATTTTTAAAGTTATTAATAGCGTTTTCCTATATTAGTCCCCTAGATTATTATCCTTTTATATAATAAATTTAATAAAAATAAACTATATTATATTCTTTAATTTATTATAGAAGAAAGTAATAATTTTAGGGTTTAAAATCCGATAATATAGATTTTGAAAAGATATTTTTTTAAATCTTTAATAAAAATAGACGTTTTATTCTATAAAAGACGTTCTAATTATAAGCCTTATATAAATTATATAATAATAAAGAATACTTAACTCTATTAAAATAAAATAATTATTTATATAATCTTGAATAAAAGAGGGCCGTAAATAATTATTAATTAGTAATATTATTTTTATTATCTAGTATTATTTTATAATTAACTTTAAATACTTTAAAGAAAGTATATTTCGAAGTTTAGTTAAATATTCCGAACTAGTTTTAATATATTAATAGGTAGTTAATATTTTGTTTTTTATATAGGACTATATAAACTATAACTTTTGATTTAAAATTATATCTTATACAATAATGATAAATTAGTATAAATAATTTAAGCTATTAAGAAAATAGCTTTTAATATTATTATTATTAAATCCGGTCTTTAAAGTAATATAAATACTAAAATTCTAATATTTTTAAATATAATAGTAAGCTTATTAAGCTTTAATAGAAAAGTATATCCCGTGAAGATAATATAATATTAGCCGCTAGTTATTGAATTCTTCATAAAGACTAGTTTATATTTTTTTTATAAATTACCTAGGTTTTTATAAAAAATAATAAGCTTTTATATTATAAATAATCTATGATATATATAAAGATTTAAATTACTAATAAGTATATAGATATATATTTAATTCTTATTATTTAATTCCGTTCTTAATATTCTTAAAAGTTTATTATTATTTTTATAGTCTAAGCTAATATTAATATATTTTACCCGTTTTCCTTTAATTTATTTCTATTTAACCTTGAATATAATATTAAAGTTAATATAATAGATATAAAGCTATTATTATATATTACCGAACTAATAAATTAAAGCGGCTTTTATTTATTTATTAAAGTTAATAATAATAATAATATTTAATAAACGAGTTAAATCTTAATTAAATAATTAATAAATACTCTCCATAAAGACCTGGAACCTTTTTAATTTTTTATTATTAATAAGGCCGAACGTTACGTTGAAAATAGATATAATATACGTCTAATTAATAATTTAAAATACTAAAAATTTAAAATAATTTATATTATATACTTTATTAAAGTTATTTATTTTTAATAAGCGTTTCTATATTAAGAGATGAAATAAGAATATCTATATTAAGCTAATAAGCCGGTCCGGCTTATTATTAGCCTATTTTATAATATAAAGTACTTTCTATTTATTAAAAAGCTTTATTAAAATAGCTATTAACAAATAGCTATTTAATTTGTTTTTATTTATAAAGGCTTTAATATTATAAATATTCTATTAAATAAATATAGAATTTAAAAACTATTCTTAAATAATAATATAAATATTATAGGCCTTAATATTAACCTAATAATTAATAACTTTAATAATATTTTTAATTAATAATATAAGCCCTTAATATAAAAAGTATATTAAAGAACTAAAGTTTAACCCGTAATTATATTAAATATATTCGGCTTTAATATAATATTATAAAAGCTAAGTACCCCCTTTCTTTATTTTAATAATAATTATCTATTTATATTTATATATTTATAATTTTTATTAATATAAACCTATACCCTTAATAAGCTATAGTTTATTAAAGTAGTTATATTAAAAACGTATATTTTATTTCTTTTATATATATATCTATATTAATATATAATATTAAACTCGTTTTATTTAATAAATATATTAACTTAATTAAATAGGGTATCGATTATAAGCTTTAAATTATTAAGAATCTATAAGTTTAGGATTAAATTAAGTAAAAACGAAAACAAATATTAACTTAAAAATAAGAACTTTATAACAATAAAGTTAACGAATTTATTTAAAAATCGATAAAAAGATACTCTATATAATAAAAAAGAGAATATAGTAATAAGGGTAATAATATAAATATATTAAATAAGTATAATAAATAACCCTATTTCCGCCGCTATTATTAAATCTATTTAAAAAGAATTAAATAGTTCTATACTTAATTATTAGCCTTTCCCTATTAATTTCTTTATTAAGTATAATATAGATATAAAATCTTATATAAAGGCTATTTATTTAGATCGATATTTTTTATTTTATAAAATAAATTTATAAAATAAACTTATAAAATAAAATAAATTTATAAATAAAATATAATAAAAATAATCCGTATTCTAGGCTAAATATTAATATAGTTACTTAATAACTTTAAGTAATATTTATTAAAGACGACCGGTATAAAAAGATTTATAATTATCCTATAGTTTTATAGATACTACGTTATTCCTATATAAGCTATAAGTGTTAATAAAGTTAATAAAATTAATTTAAATAAAAAGTAAAGATATTTTTAAAAGTATTATTATTATTAAAGTTATAATAATTATCGATATTAGTATCCGGACTATTAATAATATTAACGGTAAGAGGTTATAAAACAAAAAAGACCCGTTATATTGTTATTTTAAGTCGGGCTCGTTATTTAAAGTTAAGCTTTTAGTTTAATATTATAAGTTATACTTTAATAACGGTAAAGTGGTCTCGGATATAATAAATATTAATATAAATAATATAATAATAGCAACTTAACCGGATAAATATATCGTAATAATAAATTCCGAAAGTTAATTTCTAAATACTTTAAGTAAAACTAGTAAAATTGAAATAAGTTAATAATATTTTTTAGGCTAATAATAGTATATAGCAATTATGCCTGTATAATAGTTATGCCTATATATTAATTATTTATACCTATATATTAATTCCCTATATTTATATAATATATTATATAATTTTGAAATTATATAATAAAAATATAAATATAGTATATAATATAAAATATAGTATACAATATAAAATATAGTATATAATATAAAATATAGTATATAATTTAAAATATAGTATATAATATAAAATCTGGTATATAATATAAAATATAATATATAATATAAAATATAATATATAATATAAAATATAATATATATAATATTTTTCTCTTACCTGTATAGCTTAATAATACAAACTAGACTATATTTATATATACTTACTTAATTTTTAATATAAACTTATATAGAAGGGTAGTACTTATTTTATATATACTTTTTCTCTAACTTATATAATTAAGTATCCCCTCGGCGGAGGCATCCGCTAGGGCACTAAAAATCTGTTTACCTTATCATTTGCCTCATTCTTTATATTACGTAAGCATATAATATATTATATTAATCTATAATTATTATAGATTAATATATACTTTGATTATGTAATCAATCCTGCTTATATAAGCTTGTATAAGCTGTAGAAAGTACTAGAAGGTAACGGAATACACTGGCATTTACTCGGAGCAGTATAACGTATTACGATTACGTATATAATTACGTATATGCTTATTAATTATATCATAATTAATAAGCAGTAGAACATTCTAGTAGGAGGTTTTTACACCTATATATAGGTATCTTTTTACCTACTTAGACCTTTCGTTAAGCAAGTAACTTCTTATATAGTAATTTAACTATATTACTCTCTTTACTACCTAAACCTCCTTTATATACGCCTATTATCCCTATATGCATATATTCTTGCTTCTATATCAATATTTACTTATTATATTCTTTTATAAGAATATTTCTTATTACCTCATTATAGCTACCGTGCTAGATTAACCAATCAAAATATTATTATAATTATTTTTATTACTTTTATAAGAATACATTAAAATCTTAAGTTAATTATAAGGGTAAATATATATGCCGCTATAAGGTGTATACTGCCATATTAATTCTATATACCTCTATATTAATTCCTATTTATAAACATATTTTATTAAAAGACGACGGATATAAATAAATTATAGTAACTATAGACAGGCCTATAATTAATTATTATCGCTAGCCTAAGGGGTATATAAATTATAAAACTACTTATAAATAGTAAAATATATCTAGTTTTTTATTTAAATAAGCGTTAAAAGCCGCTAATAACCTTTTATTTAAATAATATTAAAAACCTTTATTACCGATATATTATATTATTAATAAACTAGAATATAAAATATTGTAAGTAATTAAATTATAAATATAGAACGGTAAACTTTAATATCAGGCCGATGAAAAGGGGTATAATAAAGATCCGATATAATATAAAGAGCTTTTATTATATATTAATAACCTTATAGGACTTTTATAAAAAGTATTTTACTGCTATAGGAATATTCCGGAACCTTATATTATAAATAGAGGCTATAGCCGCCGACGATCCCGCGTTATTATAATTAAATAATAACATAATTACAATAGTTATTTATTAATTGTTAAAAAAGATTAGAAAATATAGAAATTTATAAAGGATTAATATAGAAAATTCAGGATAATCTTTTAAGTACTATAGATAATACTTTTTATATTAAAGGGGGGGGGTAATATTATAATATTAAATATTAGTCTTTAATAGGCCCGAACCTTAGGTACCTAATAGACCCTTTAAGGGTTACATAACTTCTAAACTACTAAACCTAAAAGCCTAGTACCCTAGAATCTACTTATTATTTTATTTTTTCTTTTTTTATATTAAGTTACATTATTAAGTTAATATAGCAGCGTTTAGACCTGCCTTAAGTTCCCTATCGTAATAAATATATATTTTATAACCCCTTAATAAAGGACGGCTATATATAACTAATTAAATAATATTAATTTATTATTTTATATATATATATATTATAAATTCTATATTATATACCGGCTTTATAAACGTATTATATAACCTATTACTAAGCTATATAATATATATATAACCGGATTAATAATATAATTAGTTATTATAGTTAAATAAATAAATAAGCCGAACCGGTTACTTCAAATAATATTACCTAAATATAAATATAAAGTAATTATATAATAAAAAAAGAACTACATATTAAGTTAACTAGGGACTTATTATTCCGGGAATTCATTAATATTATATAAGTATGCGCGTAATTAAATAACTAAAAGAGATAGTATATAGAAGCAATGTAAAATCCTATAATATAAAGCTAAAATATAAAAAGATTTAAAATAATAAAAAGTTAAGTAAAAGCTATCGGTAAAAGGGAGTAATAATTAAAGTTTAGTTAACTATTAATAACTACGTATATGGTATAATATATTTAGTTTTCACGTTATATAATATAATATATATATTAGTGCCCCGGCGGATGCCTTTAACGAGGGGATTTTAAGCTTTATATATCTTAAATAAAATTATAAAGCGGTAGGCGCTTATATGATTAAATAATATATTATACTTAATTAAATTAATCATTGAGGTTAAAAGTGGAAGGTATTCGTACACCTACCGTGCCTGCTAACTTTCATTTTGACCTAGTTGGCTCTGTAGGTTGCCGTAAGTGGGCCTTGGTCCTATCGCTGTGGGCGCAACCTAACCTATCAAAAACAGTCCTATATGCTCACCTTGACATTTGGTCTGACAGTCACTGATTGGTGATCCATGTTGACAAGAGCTAGGCAGCTGGGCTGACGTAGTACTCTATTCGGAAGCGTGCCAAGTGCTAGGATCAATCAGGAAAAGAACGCCAGACGCGGGGTGTACCCAATCACACGAGCTGAATTTCAACTAGTATGGAGCCAAGACTCTTGGTCTCCGACTCCCTGGTCCCTTATCATTTTGTGTTGGCCCTGTCGCGCGCGGTACCGCACGCAGGGAGATTCCGTGTTATGTTCCAGGCAACGTCGATGTTGGTGCCGTTGCCAAACCACTTTGCCGTACTTGCCTTGGCCAGTGTGGAGCTAACCTGTCACTGGAAGCGGTTTCTGGAGATACCAACCAGTCAGCCCGATAAGAGTTGACAAGCCTGTTGCTGCTAGTTGTTTAACAAAAGCGACTTGTCCCCCCTTTGCCCTCTTGCCGTGGTTCTGCTTCACTCCCTCCTCCTCCTTCCCGAAAGACTGCTCAAAGTCACGTGTCGCAAACTTTACATGGTGTTTGAGTCAATCTTTCTACTTCCGCTCGTTCTTGGTTCATTCTCGTGGGACCTTTCAACGGCTACGGCCTTCATTTGTTTTCTCATCTGACACTACTGCAATGAAGGAGTCGCATGCAGAGAAGCATCCGAGCTCCGGCGATGCGACGACCGCCGAGCTCGGTAGCATCCGGAATGTCGACTCCGAAGACAAGATGGGTCACCTGCATCGCAGGCTCAACAATCGCCAAATCCAGCTCATCGCAGCAGGTGGATCAATTGGAACGGCACTCTTCATCAGCATCGGCGGTGGTCTCGCCAAGGGTGGTCCCGGCAGCTTGCTGATAGCGTACACCGCTTACACCCTGATTCTTGCCCTCGTCAACAACTCTGTTGCCGAGATGAACACGTATATGCCCGTTGCAGGTGGCTTTGTCCGCCTCGCTGGGTATTGGGTCGATGACGCTCTTGGTTTCCTTGCGGGATGGAACTTTTTCCTCTACGAAGCTATCTTGATCCCCTTTGAGATTACTGCTCTCAATATTGTCATTTCGTTTTGGAGTGATGATGTCGTGAAACCCGGTCCGACAGCTGGTATTTGTGCTGCTGTGATTATTCTTTATGGGTAAGAATATCATCCTAATTCGCAGACCACTCTCCTTCTGCCTCTGGCTTCCCTTTGCGAGGGGGGCATGCTGCAAATGCAAATGTAATGTGACACTGACCTGTGTACACAGGTTGATCAATGTCCTCGCGGTACGGGGCTATGGCGAAGCTGAGTTTTGGCTTTCTGGAGGAAAGCTGATCTTGATCTTCATGCTTTTCGCTTTCACATTTGTGACTATGGTCGGCGGCAACCCCCAATGAGATGCATACGGCTTCCGCCACTTTACGAATCCCGGTGCGTTTGCGACATATCTATCAGGCGGCGACCTGGGTCGTTTCGAAGGGTTTCTTGCTGCACTTTTCAGTGCCTCCTTCACCGTTGTCGGTCCCGAGTACATCTCCATGGTATCTGCTGAAGCTCAACGGCCCAGCATCTATATCAAGTCAGCATTCATTACCGTGTATTACCGATTTTGTATTTTCTTCATCATCGGTGCACTGGCTGTTGGCATAGTAGTTCGGTATAACCACCCAACCCTAGTCAACCTTTACTTTGGGGACGGTGGCGGTGGTACGGCTGCGGCTTCTCCCTATGTGATTGCCATGGAGACCCTTGGTATCGGTGTACTTCCTCACATCGTCAACGCACTCATCCTTACGTCTATCTTCTCGGCTGGCAATACCTACACCTACTGTGCCACTCGGGCGCTTTACTCACTATCTCTCGAAGGAAGAGCGCCTCGTTTTCTGCGTCGATGCAACAAGAATGGAACTCCCATCTACTGTTTCGCCATCGTCATGCTGTTCCCGATGTTATCTTTCCTCCAAGTTAGCAGCAGTTCTGCTGTTGTTATTACATGGCTAACTGCGCTTATCACGGGAGGTGGGCTGATCAGCTTCATCATCATGTCGATCACGTTCATCAACTATCATAAGGCCTGTGTCGCCCAAGGAGTTGACCGCAAAACCCGGCCATACTATGGATACTTCCAGCCTTACGGCGCATACATTGCATTGGGCTTTCAGTTACTCATTCTCTTAGTGTATGGCTACTACGCGTTCCGGCCGTGGTCAGTAGAGTTGTTCTTCCAGAGCTACACTATGCAGATCTTAGCCGTCGTTCTTTTTTGTGGATGGAAGTTGTTCAAGAAGACCAGATACATAAGGCCCCATGAGGTTGATCTTGTTTGGGAGCGGCCATTGATCGAAGCCTACGAAGAGTCTTTAGTTGATCCGCCAGTTGGCTTTTGGACCGAGATGGCGCAAATGGTTGGGCTTCGAAGGAACAAGGTAGGCTTTCATTAATCCCTCTTGAGAGCGACAAAGGCTGACCCTCTTAGGCCTAACACGCCTTCTTTCCAGCTCAAATCTCACGCAGGATACCACAACGTACTCAATTCCATGTTTTCATCTAATCATGATTTTGCTATTGCCTAGGAGAAACCCGTAGCACTCCGTTGGTGGTAATGGTGTCATTTACTGGACTGATGAGATGGTCCCGGCTTAGGAAGTATCGGTAAGCATAAGGAACTCGAGACAATGGCGGCATATCAATTAGTGGAAATACTTCTAATCTGTTTACAATGTTTCGTGGCTTCTACCAACATCTAAGGAATTTTTGCGCAGTTTCTGATGATCACATAGCACCTAACTTAATCCCTGAGTAGGTAAGCTGTTCATTCATCGTGCATTCCCGACCCCGCAGTGTAATCTCGGTTCTACCTTTTTCTGTAGTGATATGGTGTTCGTAGAGGTTGGGATTTTTACTCAATGGTTCCAATTTCCCGAATTTTGAGTCTAACAATAATTTGCACGTATTACGAGCCCGATCACCATTTTCCCACCTTCCATATCATCTCGCATGGACCGGCTCGGCAGCAGCACAGCGCGCCCTGAACTTTGCTGCAAGACAAGCACCGCGACAACGCTGCGTCGCAGTGAGGGCGGCCAAGTCTGGGTGAAACTCATACATATATTATGCAGACAATTTGAAGCCATATTATACACAATGAAGGGCCAAGCCGGGAGGCTTCAAAATGCCTAATCGAGAGAAATCCTCGGCGAGAAGACCCAGAAACTATTTTCTTCATCTCCGCAGGTTGATCAATTGTGATCCGTGGATCAACTGGCTTTTTTCGACCTTCCATTTTCGCGCCGAAGTGCAACATAGAAGTCTCCCGGTACAGATTGATCAGAACTTGACTAGCGCCATGCCGATTATTCAAAGCAAATTGGTGGAAGATATGGTTAAATTCTAGCCTGGCGACGATCGTAGATGGTCTACCGGAAATACAGTCTCGGAACGGCAGTTGAGCTTGACGCCTGCGGGGAATTGTTTCGAATATGCCACAATTGAGGGGCCTTTCTCGGGCCAAGAATCTTTGTTGGGCGCTCAGCGTAGTACTCCCCGGATAAATCAAGTCCGCGACTGTTGCCATGTGCGTCGAGTCACACGATTTATGGATGCGAAGTGAAGTTAACATCGTCGCCAACCCTGGGCGCCCAAAAGTGCAGAATCAGGACATCTCTGAGAACGATCGTCTTGTACTGTTGAGCCCGAGCCTCAGAGCTGGGCCCGCCTATCTGACGGGGTATAAGAAGATGTCATTTCCATTCCATTTATGTGGCGTCTGGAACCGCAGAGATTGCCTTTTATTCCTGATTCCCACCGAGCCTAAACGTCGCACTATTATCAAATAATTCTAGTACCTGGAGAGATACTACATCAAACAAAAACCCATCATGAAGCTGTCCCTCTGCATGATAGCTGCAACTTATGCCGCAACTGCGCAGAGCGCAATCACTTGGAGCCTCGAGAAGGCTGCAAGCCCTACAGCAGATCAGACAGACGCCTACAACAAGATCGAAGCCGCAATGCGTCTTGCAGCTGCCCGTCACTCTCGACTGGGAAGCGCAACGAAGAACTTACGCGTTTACTATACTCCTGGTGTACCAACTGCGGAGGCAAATTATAACGGCGACGTCAGATTCGGCTCAAACCGAGCATATATGAATGAGAGAACGGCCCTCCATGAGGTCTCTCATACTCTAGGAGTTGGTCAAACTGCTGCGTTTGATAGGAAGTGTGCTGCTGGAGATTGGGCTACTGCGCTGCCATTGTTACGGTCCTGGGATGGTTCGGGGGCAGTCATCAACTGTGGTGGTTCCCACATCTGGCCTTACGGGCTGAATTACGATACAGAGTGGAGTGAGACAAACGCCAACCGTCACGTCCAACTCATAAATGCCATGATACGGGATGGTATGTAGCTGGCAGGGTCTTCGACGTTGAGGCATATGTTCAATAGTATTGGCAGTTGATGACGTTCTTGACCGCAGCTATGGTCTTCTTCACCGGCGCGTCTTCTACCATCGGACTTATCTGGAGACTTGGTGTGATATTTCCAGTAATACTCTCATGAATAGCGTTCATATCTGATGTTTTGGACTGGATTAGAAATAAACCAAGGCTATGGAATAAGCTGCGCCGGCCCTTGAATCTGATAGCCGCTTCAAACTTCTCTTTTTACATACTTGATACGCACATCGACACTTGAAGAAAAAATATAAGCAGGCTATCAACATACCTCATCAAAAAATCATGTGAGTTCGTACCCCTCTATTTCACGTGAACCTCTAGTCCGTAGACTTCCCTAATATTGGACGTTCTTGGACTTCGTATACACCTTGCACCTGCAACCGAAGTTCATTGAATCAGTGCGATCTTCGAACTTGTTCTATTTGACTTGTCCTGAAGTCTAGTCACCTTACATGATAAGTGACCGAGCTTCGGGGAGCTGAAAAGCCTAGCGCCGTCTAAAAATTCGTCGTCTCCAGACTCGTTGTAGATGGTTAAGAACTTCCACAAATGTTGATGAAACGACTCTTCTCATGACGTTCACGTAGAGTTAATCTAAAAAAACCCTTGTGCTTATCCATCACACATCCTGATGCGGCCACCAAAAATGACCGGATCGACACTTCTCTTCCTGGTGAGTTTGTGGGAATTGACTGGAATGTTTCCATAAACAACTGCACTCGCTCGACAGACTTATTGTTATTGATGTGACAATTAAAATCCATAGCTACAGACTGTGAGGTTGGCCCACTGGCGCCTGCTCGTTGGAGATAGATGCCGTGCGACTGCTGCACTAGATTCATAATGCGCGATGCTGTCCCTGAATGCTCTGGTTGATGCTCCGAGCAATTTTTCATGCAATTGGACGCTTCAGTGACTTGCTCTTGGGAATATATGGTCAAAATGCCAGTTTTCTCGCTCAGAAGGGGGGCAGAATATACGCATAGCCTGCAATATCAGCTCGCAGATCAGTTAACCGTCAAGATAGGTTCAATAGCTTCTGGCTATGCCACCAACGGCTGGTTTTCCTACCATGAGATAGATAACCGAGTGTAAGCCACTTAAGTTTTAGAATCGTCTCCCAGACAGTCTTTTCCGCCAATACTTGCCAGTGCGGATTCTAGCAGACGAAACAATATCGGGAAGTCATCCGATCCGGTTACCATGACGGAAACAAGCAGAACAACTATGACTAGTAAAGTGCGGTCTTGGTATATTGGTCATCGGCTTTGAACTCAAGTCGTCTTCTCAAATCATTCATTGTCGTTGTTGTTGTTGTTGTTGTATTTAACGCCGTGGCGGCCGGGCTAGAGCCCTTACCGCAGACCTCCCGAAGGGTATATGGCGTGGAGGGCCGTGAGCCAAGGCTACCTACTCTACAGTACGTCGTCTCTTTACATCGTCCTCCAAATCATGCCTTGTGGCCACTACGCGTTCTGTCTGTCCCCGGTTCCCGCTGGTGCCCCAGTTTCATTCTTTCCCAAATCGTCCCTTGGAATCGGGAGGTTCTTTGTAGTCCGCACTCACATCTACGTAGGTGTGGATGCTGCTACCGCAGACAGATCTTCTGGAAGAAGTCCGTCACGCGGAGAAAGGCCTCGAAGCCTCGTGGGTCGGTGATTAATCTCTTGAAGTAGGCCTCGAGAGATCCCATAGGGCCTATGGGCTCGGGCATACTGCGAGAGTGGAGGGTCGGCCACCGTTGCCTCCTCGCCAGCGTTAGTCGACAGTAGACCAGGTGGTCCACGTCTTTCGCCTCTCCACAAGAGCACATCATTAGAGCGTCGTCGTGGTTGAAACGTCGGTGATATTGCTCGAAGTCCCCGTGACCCGATCGTGCCGCCAGCAGGTGATGTAACGTAGCCCGCGGCAAGGCCAGTTCAGGAGGGCTGGACAGAGCTGCCTCAAGCCCCAAGTCCGCGTACCGCGGCCTTCGCTCTTTATACCACCATCTCCTGTGCTGGCTTTGTAATTTTTCCCTTGCAAGCCGCTTGATGCCCGCTAGTGTTGCCATTTGACCCATCCGCGCCGGCAGTGTCGTTCCTTCTTTGGCCAGCCGGTCCGCGGCCTCGTTTCCTTCGATGCCCTGGTGTCCCGGGGACCAGTGCGTCCGTATATCAAATATCCTGGCCGCTTCTTGGATTTCGAGGAACGCGTCTTGTGACGAGTCCGGCGCCTTGCCGCGGATGCCTTGTATAACGCTGGTGTTGTCGATACATATGTGGATTGGATGACCGCGATTGGTGAGCAGAGCCCTTCTGAGGCCGGTTCGCGCCCCTTCGACCTCGGCGTCGAACACTTCTGCTAGTCCGAGTCGGCCGCACCCTTGTGCTATGCGTTTGGAGTCTCGGTAGATGACGAAGCCGTACCCCACGGCTCCGTTCGTCGCCCTGGAGCCGTCCGAGAAGACGATCATATGGCTTTCCGGTACTGTCTTTAGCCAGCGCTCGAAAGCTTTCGCAGCCTCTTCTTTGCATTGAACTACTATCTGATCCTGTGAGCTTGGCAGGTACTGTGATTGAAGGAACGCTGGTCTTCCGCATCTTGGCAGAAGTTCAGCCGTCCGTTGTAGTCTCGTCTGTTGCTGTCCCTGCTGGGAGAGCCGCGCGACTAGCGGGTGTCGGCGATCAATCCTCTGTAGTCGGACTGCGGCCCGTAAGCGGACGCCCTCTAAGGCGACTTTGGCTGACGGTAAGCCGGCGTCTCGGAGGAGGCTACTGGTTGGCGTTGTCCTCCAGACAGGCAGAACGGCCCTTGCTGCCGCTGTAATGACGCTGTCGATCTTCTGCACGAGCCCCTTTTGGCCTGTGTTGACGGGTCTTCCTTGGAGAGGCGGATTCGTGTCTGTCTCCGCTTGGCGTCTCGAAGCCGGCTTCGTGATACCTGCGTACCATGTTTCGGCGCCGAAGAGCGCGATCGGCAGTACGCAGGAGACGACGGCTTTTCGCACGGCGGCCGCTGGGAGTCCCCTCTTTGTGTTCGTAAGCTGTCTCAGATGTTGAGCTGCCCTCTTTGCTGCAGCTACTTTTGCGTCGACATGGTGCCGGAAGGACAGTCTCTTGTCGAACCAGACACCCAGCCAGCGTACAGGTTTCGTCGAGGCCTTGACCACCAAATCCCCGCCCGGACCTCTGGCAGCTCCGCTGGCT